CCCTGGCTGGGCGCCGGTCCGGCGGCGCCCCCCGCCTCGGTCCCCGGCGCCGCCTCGGCCGCCCCGGCGCGGGAGGAGCGGCAGCGAGAGCGAAAGTTTCCCTCGAACTTTTTCGTCCTCAAAGAAACTTCTCCTTCTTTCATGGACCCCCGGTGACGTCACCGCATTCCACAGCGTCACGTGGAGCCTGGGAATTCCTGCCACTTCCGGTGGGGGAGGCGGGGCGGGGGGCGGGCGGCGGCGGCGGGGCGCCTTGCTCCGCGCTTCCGTGCCTCAGTTTCCCCGGAGGAGAGTCCTGTGCAGCGCGGCTGGGGAGCGGGCCCGGGCCCGTCGGGAGCCCGTGGGCCGACGCGCGTGGGGGGCAGGACTCCTGGGTCCCCGAAGCAGTCGCCCTCCCCGAGGGTCGCCCCGGAGAGGAGCGGGAGCAAGCGGGGCCGCGGGGCCCTTCTTTTCTCGGGGAGAGCCCTGAGACGCGCCGTGCAGGGATCCGCTGCGAGCGCCGACTCCCTTCTGGCCTCGCCGAGGGCAGTTGGGTGGAGTGGTTAGAGCAGCGGGGCGGAGGGTTGCTTTGCTTTGCCCCGAGGTGGCGGAAGCTGCCGGGAGGGGCGGTCTGGCACCCAGCGAGCTCTGAGAGGACCACGACTCCGCCATGGCACAGCCGGGGCGGCGGGGGGGGCTGCAAGTCGGGTGGCGTGTTGGAGGCGGGGCAGGGCCGGGCCTGCCGGGGCCTGCCTGGGTGTGCAGCGTGATCCCATCATCGGCCTCTCGCAGGCCTGCCCCGACTTATGGCTGCCTTTGGGAGCCGCCTGGCCCCATCTTCTCCCCTGGGGACGCTCCTCCAGTCTCACGTGGGCAGGAACCCCAGGAGCTGCTTTCTGAGCTGTGGCTCAGGTGGAGCGAAGCCGGAGTGGAGCCGCTCACGCTCCAGCGGGCATGTGCAGAGTGCCAAAGACTCTCATCTCTCCAGAAGGGGCTTTGGTGGACCAAGGCCCCAAGTTTCAGCCCCGGCACCTCTCTGAGAAATGAACCCATTCCCCTCACATGCGCTGGCTCTTTCCCAACCTTATCAGCCTCCTTATCCATCTTGGCCCTGACCCAGGTATTTAATAGACACTAAGAAGCTCCAGCGAGTGACTATTGACTATTGACGTTGCTCTAAGCGCTGCGGATTGGAGGAGGCAGGGGGATGGGCAGCAAAGGGGAGTGGTTAGCGCACAGGCTGGTAAGCCGGCCTCAGCACTTGGAGGGGAGACGCCGAGGCCAGAATTGGGGGCTGGGGCAGGACTACCAGGCCTGGGCGCAGCCAGAGAGGAGGGTGTGCCGGCCACTCTGGCTCCACTCTGGTCAGCAGTTCTCTTTCCTCCCACATCTGCCCCAGCGAGCCTCTATTTTAAGGCCTGCCCCGCCCCGCTGGCTGCCGCAGCGTCCTGTGAAACCCGCCATCTAAGTATAAAGCAAGCCCTGGATTGGTGGAGGACCACGAACTGCCCTTGGCTATTTCAGGCCCGGAGTTCGATCCCTCCTCCCGCAGCTCCAGGGCGGGAAAGTGCAGTGCTAAACTTTCTGGGACACTTCCTCACGTGGACTACAACTCCCATCATCCAGCTGGCCAGGTGCGGGTTGTAGTCCATCACACACCCACTGCATCCCCAAAAATTGATTCCACCTCACCCAAGGGGGCTTGTGTTCTTAAGCTTGCTCTTTACTATTGCGCCTGCAAGAAAAAGCGCTGGTTTGGAAGATGGAGCATAGATGCTGTCCGTGTGTAGGGCAGAGGGGCCGCAGAGGCCCCGTTTGGGAGGAATTTTGCGGGTGTCTCCGGCAGGGTGCAGCCCCAGCGCAGAAGTGGGTGGCTTCAGGGACCCCACCTGCTTTTGGTGCTCGTGGGAACACGGGAAGCTGCCGGGCCCCTTCCTCCTCGTTCTGTCGGGGCCAGTCTTGCCAGGCAGGTGTTTCTCCAGCCCCGCCTGGAGAGTCCCTCCTGGATGCACACCTGAGCCCGGTGCGGGGCTTTGCTACCAGGGGAGTGCAGTGCCGGACTGAATGGGCCCCAGTCCAGCCCAGCGTGGCTGCCCTTCTCTTCTAAGGCAGCAGGGCCACAGCCGAACCAAGAAGCCACCTCCCAGTTCGGGGAGCAGCCACGTCGGCGGAGGAGAGCAGCAGTGGGGTAGAGAAACTCCCGAAGGGCAGCCACGGGGCAGCCGGGCTGGTGAGCAGCACAGAGGAAAGCGGTAGTAACCTGCTTCTGAGGTTTCCTACCCTGGCAGCGCTCTGAGGAAACAATCCAGAGTGGAAAAAGAGGAGACTCGTGGGTCGGAAGGCGCTGAGTCAGCTACCAGGGCGGGCAAAGGACGAATGCAAATATTGCTGTTGGGGATGAGTCAACTAGAGCGAGGCCAAAAGGAAGTCCAGTGGCTGACACAGTCCGAGGCGACAGCAAATGCGACCGGAACACAGCGCATGAGAAGCGCGAAGCAGGGCGCACTGGAGAGCAGAAAGCAAGAAACGGGGCGGCCAAACGTTGCAGTATTTGGTGTGCGTGGACTGGAAGGGGGCACATTCAGTCCCACGAGCATCGAGTGCCTTACTCAGAAAAAACAGGGTGGCTCCAATACCGAGGCTGGAAGGGGCGATAATGCAAAGTCCGACCGAATCGCATCGATCCGAATGGTTGGAAAGCCTTTCAACATGATCATCATGATTCAGGTCTGTGCTCTGACAACAGATGCTGAAGGAGAAGCAACTGAAAAATTTTGTGCAGGTATTTAAAAGGAAATTACACACTAACGGAAGACATGCCGATCGTCACAGGTGATTGGAACTCAGAAGTAGGATCCGTTGGATCTCCCTACATGTTCGATTTGTGCACAGAACCATCTCGTAAGGAAAGTGGATGAGGCTCAGAAGTGGGAGTGAAAATGGGCAGAAGAGGCATCACTTATTTTGGAGAGGCAGACGGCACCACACTATTGGCAGAAAGCAGCAACGGACTAAAACGACTCTCGATGAAAGTACAGGAAGAAACTACAAAAGCAGAACTGCAGCTGGACAGGAAGAGAACAAAAATCAGGATTACGGAACTTTGCTGACAAGAATTAGGAAATCGATATTGTGAAAGATTTTACGTATCTCAGCTCAGTCATCAATTCAAAGGGAGGCTGCAGCCAAGAAATCTGAAGAGGGCTGAGACCGAAAGGGCAGCAATTAAGGAAGTAGAAAAGTTCATCAAGGGCAAGGACGTTTCACTGGAGACCAAGGCCAAGCTCATCCACACTATCGTATCCCCCGCCTGTATGGATGGGGGTGAAAGCTGGGCAGTGAAGGGAATGGATGCATTCGAAGCGGTGCTGGAGGAAAGCTTTGGGAGCGCCCTGGACCGACAGAAAGACAAACGGGGGTCCTGGATCGAATCGAGGCAGAGCTTTCCCTAGAAGCCTACTTTGGGTGCATCACGAGCAGGCTAAACTCCTGGGAGAAGACGATCACGCCAGGGAAGGTCGAAGGCAGAAGAGGAGAAAAGCCGACTAGGAGATGGATCGGCTCCATGAAGGCAGCCCCGGCCTTGAATTACACGAGCTGAGCAGGGCTGCCCTGGAGAGCTCATCTCGGGGGGCTCCATTCAGGGGGTCGCCATAAGCTGGAGACGGGTTGATGGCACGTGGGCTGCAGCAAACTCGGGGATGCTTCCAGGCTCAGACCTGGGACCTGCGGCTTGTGCTCCAGGGACTTCGTGCCCGGACTGTTGTGTCCAGTGCCATTTCAGGCTGGAAGGCGATTTGTTCCACGCGCAGGTTGTGATCGTTTTGGCGCATGTGGCCATTGTGTGAAGCAGACGCTGAGCTAGGCAAGCCCTTTGGTCTGACCCACCACGATGCGCCTTTTGTTCTTTTGACTGCGCATAACAGCATGGGTTGTGTTTTGTGCTACCTGAACTGGGATTGCCAACTGACTGGAAAACACCTGCTCCTCTGTTCCCTTAAGAGCAGCCTGGTTTACATGACTCAGAGGGTGGAGCAGTGTGTAACATGCATGCCTGTTCCTGTCTGTGCATTAAGCTCCTGTGTCAGAGGCATAGGAGCACAGGCCAGGAAGAAAGTTGGCACTGAGGCCACAAGGCCGTGCGGATGTTGCGGGTCACATCCAAAGTTGTGAGCCAAGGCTGAGATTGCCAGCGGACTGATGTCTACAACTACATATCTTGGCTTACTTCCACTGCAAGAACCATCATTAAAACAAATCTCATCTGGAATTAGCAGCATTCCCCCCCAGCAGTTAATAAGCAGGACTACCTCTGTAGCGCAGGCTGGACTTCAGCAGGTTCAGTTTTACCGCCTGGCTTCTCTGCTTGCTGTGCGGCTCTTTAAAGCACCTGGGATGCCTCTGGGGACACCGTGAGCGGCCCGTCACCATCCCTTAACACCTGGCCCAGAATATCCCACGAGAAAGGCAGCGCTCAGGCACAGAGCCAAGCTGGCCCTCTTTCTGGGAATTTTCAACCCCCCCCCCCCCGTAAGTCTCCCAGTTATCATGCCACGAGTTCCAGTGCTGGACTGAAGCAGGGATCTGGCCCAAGCCTTGGAGGGGGGTGCCTTGGCGGGGGGGGGGGGCATCGGAGAGGACAGCTTGAACTTGGAGGGGGCTTGCGCAGCGGTGCTGAACCTCCTCAGCTGGAGAAAGCTCTCCCTAAACATGCACAGAGTGCCTTTTTCTCTCTACTGGGCAGCCGCAACCTGTTGTGGGGAGGGGGGGGGTCACTTAGGATTCCCCAAAAAGGAAGAAGCACATTTCCAGATAAGAGTTTCATGTGTTGGGATGCGCGGATGGGTGCTGAGAATAAAATACAGAAGGCTGCAGGCAGCATTAACAGGAGGTGGGCAACATTTCTTAGGTTAGGGTTCTCCACCTTACCGCCAAAATTCAGGGAGCCAGTCTGTGGGGGGCGGGAGCGTGGGACTAGGCACCCCCTCGGCCACGAAGCTCTCTGCGTGGAGTGACTTTGGGCCAGTCACTCTCACCCTGTCCCGCCTCGCAGGGCTGTTGTGGTCAGTGGAACAGGACTACGCAGACTGTCTTGCTCCCTCCTAAGAGAAGGCGGCAGGATGTGAATGCAAAATGGCAATACTTCAAGAGGAGCACTGGCTTTGGGAAAGGGGGCAGGTGCCACCCCACAGTCTTGCCCCACCGGCTGCGTGTGTGAGATTCAGGGTCAAGTAAGTCCGGGCAGCGATCGATCGGGGGCTCTTCATGAGCCCAGTTTTCTACAGCTGCTCCTAAACCCGGGGTGCCGGCCAGGCGCGCGGCTGCGGGGCTGTGCAAGGGCGCCCCCTGCCGTCCAGTGGCTGCTAAGGAAGCCGTGGGAACGTGGCCAAAACTGGCTCTTCGAGGCGGTGTCCGGGCACACGAGTGTTCGTTTTGCGCTGTGCAAAACTGCCGGACCTGCAGAAACCTGCAAGACTCTGCCTGCTAAAGCGTCCTGTGACCCCCGGAAGCTGCCGGCTTGCCAGCAGCCGGTTCCATAAGCGCATTTCGTCTCCACTCTGCCCGCATCCTCCCAAAGCGCAGAGGCGCCGCAGAGGAGAGCTGAACCGATCTTTCCCAAAGGCCGTTGCACGAAAATGCAGCGCTTGCTTTTCCTCCCTGGAATGAATGTCGTTGCCGTTTTACTCCTGCGGCAGGCGAGGTGCTGGGGGCTTGAGGCCACGCTGTCAGGCCTCAAAGGAAGGTGGAAGCATCCGTCGTGCCGTTTCTGTGTGGAAAGCCCCCGTGGGAGTCCCCGCAGGAAGACCGTTCTGCAGAATACAGGGCAAATGGGCCCTGCAAACCACCCCAAGGGCCAGTCGTGGAAACAAAGATAGAGTCCTGCTCGGAGAGGCTGAGCTCTGCAGCAGGTGAGGGAACAGGGAAGAGAGTGCCTCTGAGTATACACAGAATGCTGCATGTCTGGGATCAGGAGCACCAGATACAGGCATTCTAGCAGGCTTCGAAACACAGCATTTCCCCCTCCTTCTCGGGTTCATTTGCAGGCAGAGGGGTTCTGGGGTTACAGCTCCACCTGGAAATTCTCTCGGATTGCAGCTGTACAGGGTGGGCGGCGAGCGGAATTGGCCGAGGGAGGGAGGAAATGCACTTGGCACGTGCTCAGAGGACCCTCGTCTTCATGATGACCTCACATGTTCCAGGGCCGAAAACTGGCGCGACGGAGAGCGAGTTCCCCACCCCGCCCTCCCCTCCAGCGAAGCGCTGCTCTTCGCCTCTTCGGCCAGAATCCAGTGCCAAAGGCTCAGGAAGGACGGAGGGCGGAAATGGCCTCATGCAGGCAGGTGCTTCCTCCACCCGCCGCACAGGCCCTTGACAAAGCGAGGAAGTGAGAGAGGGAACAATGTCCTCCCAGGACCGGCCCTTTGTGCGCGCCCCACGGCAGCAGCTATGGGGGCCTCTGAGGCAGAAGTCCTGGGGCTTTTGGCAGGAGTCGGAGGCCTGTGGGCCGCGCCGGTCTTGGTGATTCATCCGTGTCCCCGTCCGGGGGCATGTCAGGACCCGGCAGCGGTGCTGAGCGGAGAGGCTTCCTGAGTGGCCGGTCCATCCCTTTTCCTGACAACCCTATAAATACACCCTCCCCCCACCGCCCCCTCCTTCCCGGGGGGGCAGCCGAGCCAAGCTCAGGCAGGAAGGACGTGACCAGCCCCGGTTCCTTTCCAGGTTGCACCGATGTTATAAAAGAGGCCCCCCCCGCCCTGGCTGGCCTGAGGCTGGTTCTCAGAGCGCTGGGACTCCAGGAGAGACGGGGGGTCCAGCTGGATCTCTGCCCCCCTCCCCAGTCAGCGCTGCACACCTGCTGGCAGGAACGGACGGGTCATCCAGGGCGCTTGGACGGACGTCCCTGCAGGACAGGGGTGAGTCTTTCGGGGGCAGAAGTGGGGAGAAAGGTCTCTCTTTGGGTCTGGGAGGATGGAATTTGGGGTGGGGGTGAAGGCAGGGTTTGGGGGATGCCGGGTTTGATGTTCTGTGTATTTGCAGCTTTGCATGCTCGGAATCCGATCCTCTTCCCCAAAGCTCAGGATGATGGGTCAAAACCATCCAGGCCAGCTCTATTCGGGGGTGACCAGTTCACGATGCTGGGATGGGGCATTTGGTTGACTGGGGCTGTTTTGCGGGGCTGGGCACCAAAACCAAATTCTTGCCCACGGGGCTGAGAAGCTGATCTCCATCTGGCTTTTGCTAAGACGTTTCAAGTCTTGTCATTCTCTTGTTAAAATCATCCCAGGATTTGTTCAGTGAGAAGCAATATTTAATGGTTATATTTATTTTGCATGGTTGGGGCTCAGCATTGCTCCCCAAATGCCCTTCTAAGTTCCGTTTCTATGTTAAAGCATATAAAACCATCCTATTCCCAGTGGAAGCCGGAGGTCCACTGGGGGGGGGGTCTGCGGAGCGTGCCCTTCCGCGGCTGCTGTGGGCTCATGTTCTCGCTTCGAGACTGGGACGGGGCAGAGGGGAAGAGCTGGTGGGTTAAGCGCCGGGGTCCTGCTTGCCTAGGCGTGATGCAAAATGCCTGGACGAGAGGTGGGGAGGGTGGAGCCAGCGATCTCTCCGTTTGACTCAGCCCAACAGGACCGTCTTTTCCAGGCCTACCTGGAGATGCAGAAGGTCCTGGGTTCAAGCCGCCGCATGCTGGTGCATGGGTAACAGCCTGGCTAGAGGGCATGAAGCAGCGGAACTCCTGTTCTCTTGAGCGCTCCGTGAAGAGCGTTAGGTTGATCCGGGGACCATGCACTGGCCAGAGAAGGAACGGCGGCAGGCAGTGTGGTTTGCCCTCGGCTGCCAGAAAGAGCGCCTCTAAGAACTTCTGAATGAGAGGCTGAGTTTTGAATTTTTCCTCTGCCCTCCTGCCTGTCTTTCCTTTTGTGTGGCACCTTTTAGACTGTGAGCCTGAGGGCAGGACTTTTGCATGAGCCATCTTTGTAAGCCTCTCCGAGAAACCTTTCTGGAGGAAAAGTGGGGCGCACACAGCCAACCAGCAACATCCCCTTCCCACGCCCCCCAGGCACGATGGCTGGCGACCAAAGCTACGTGCGCGAATTCACCCGGCACTCCAGCGACGTCTTGCTGAACCTGAACGAGCTGCGCAGGCGGCACGTCCTCACCGACGTCACCCTGCGGGTGGGGGGCTGCCCCCTCCAGGCCCACAAGGCCGTCCTGACCGCTTGCAGGTGAGAGAGCTCCCCCCCCCCCAGGTTTGTGGCTGAGGATCGGGGCACGTGCGTGTGGGGCTTGCGGCTGTTGCGGACTGGCTGCACGGCATCGAGTCTCTGGGTGCGGATGCCGCCAGGGAGGGGCCTCACAGCTCCGGCGCGCTTCCCTCCCTCCCGCAGCGGCTTCTTCTACTCCATCTTCCTGGGCCAGGGGGGCCACGAAGTGAGCGTGCTGACCCTCCCCAGCTCCATCGAGCCGGCCGGCTTCCAGGCCCTCCTCGACTTCATGTACACCTCGCGCCTCCTCCTCACCCCGGGCACGGTGCCGGCCGTCCTGGCCGCGGCCTCCTACCTGCAGATGGAACACGTGGTGGAGAGCTGCCACCGCTTCATCCAGGCCAGGTACGGGGCGGGTGGAGGGGGCTCCGAGTGCGGGGACCCTCCAGCGCGCCCCCCCGCCAGCCCTTCCCCGGCGCCGGCCCTCTCGAGGCGCCGGAGTGCAGCGCGCCCTGCGCGCCCCGCACCGGGAGCCGCGGCCGAACCTCTGGAGGGCGGCGGCGGGCAGAGGGGCTTCTGGCTGGAGCCCGGAGGGGATGAAGCCCCGCTGGAACCGCGGCGCGTGCTTCGCCCTGCCGGAGGCCCGGCGCCGGCGCGACGCGCTCCTGGGGCTGCCGCGTACCCGAAGCGGTCGCCTCCCGCCCCGCGCGAAGTCCAGGGCGGCCAGCGACCGGGGCGCGCGCAACCGCGGGGCCCGGGCTCCCCGGGGCTCCGGCGCGAGTTCCT